GAGTGCATACATTTTCATATTGGCCCCTTGTGGGAATCGAACCCACAACCCTGGCGTTGCAAACGCCATGCTCTACCAACTGAGCTACACAGGACCTCCACATCCGGCTTCTTCACCTGCGGGATTGTCTGAGACCAGCCACCCGGATAGCTGATGAAACTGTGGGTTTGCACAACCAAAGAATGTATGCACAAACTGTCAGAAACTGTCTCAGTTTGCAAGCTCATTTGCATGCTCGTCGTCCTAGCCAGGGTCTTGACCTGACTGCAGTTTGGGTTTGTAACAGACTTCAGTGGGCAAATGCTCACATTCGATGGCCACTGGTACGCTGGAGAAGTGTGCTCTTCATGGATGAATCCTGGTTTCAACTGTACCGGGCAGATGGCATTGTGTGGACGAGTGGTTTACTAATGTCAACGTTGTGAACAGAGTGCCCCGTGGTGGTGGGGTTATGGTTACACAATTGCATTTTATTGATGGCAATTTGAATGCACAGATACCGTGAGGAGATCCTGAGGCCCATTGTCATGCCATTCATCCACCGCCATCACCTAATGTTTCAGCATGATAATGCACGGCCCAATGTCGCAAGGATCTATACACAATTCCTGGAAGCTGAAAATGTTCCAGTTCTTCAATGGCCTGCATACTCACCAGACATGTCACCCTTTGAGCATGTTTGGGATGCTCTGGATCGACGTGTACGACAGCGTGTTCCAGTTCCCGCCAATATCCAGTAACTTCGCACAGCCATTGAAGAGGAGTGGGACAACATTCCACAGGCCACAAACAGCCTGAAACTCTATGGGCTTTATTTTAACAAACCTAATGCAATGGTAAATCTAAGCGCTGGCGGTAGAGCTATAGGTTTGGGGGGGTGTGTCAGAAATATTTTTGCTATTTTCACCACCACAGTTATAGGCACAGTTGCTGGCAGTGGCGCGAAATGGCTGGGTTTTGATGACTAAACCAGTTTTGGGTGTGTTGAGGCTTGCCCCTCACTCGCCAATCAGAACGTGCTTCATTGCTAAATATGTGGTTGTTTCAAGTTGTATGTTTACGGTCTTTTATGTATTGCGTTGTCATCAACTCCAATTCGAATGTTAGTTTGTTGTAGCCTAGTTTGTTAAATAGCCTGCCCCATATTTGCAAAATATGTTGAACATGTTTGCAGTCCACATTGTTCTAATTGCATTGCTTTAATATGGACATACATTGTTAAGGCTATAGCATTTGCACTGATATAGGGGCTAGGCCTACTGTGAATTGCAGTCTGGACATGGACATGCCAAATGTAGTCAATAAGCAAGATTAAATTCACTAGGCTATTGATAAGGCCTAAAAATACTGTGTAATTCGAATCAAATTCGAATAAACTAAACGACAACGTGTTTTAAATAGGATATGTCTAAATAAATTTACAGGCACCGTAATTGCTCCCTGTGGGGGTATAATTCAGACAAGGCATCTTAGACTATGGAGGATTTTATGCACATCCAAACTTTTCACAGTAGCAGGATAAAGATCCAATATAAAGAGAAAGGGGAAATGTCCACTCACCGTTGTACTACTCGCAAATGTAATGTTTTATAAACATAATGGAATCATCTTACAGATCATATTTGCACTTTTCCACAAATAGCAGACGAAATTGCATCGCATTCAAGCCATGTAGCAGCCTACTTTATCAACAGAAACCCATGAATGGTGAATATTCGTAATACGTTTGATTGGTTTTTGTTTAATTTGATAAAAAAACAATCTGCTTTTTAAACGCAACAACAATATCAGAAGCATGATATCATAAATCACTTATCTTATTCCATGGCATGTGTGCACACGTTGGCCTAAATGTCTTTATGCATTACATTCTCACGTCTATATACAAACTAGGCTCCTTTCAATTGTATCATTGCCTATGGGCGAGGCAGATTCTCAAAAAATCAGCTGTTGATATGGCCTTATAGGAGGTTTGAATAGTTCGGAGGAGCGCGCATGTCTTTGGTAATCGGACGAGGGGCCCTCTTTGAAAATGGGGATGGGATAGCCTACTCAAACAAGCGAAATGAAGTATGCATGTATGTGAATTTTCAATAATGAAAAAGCATGAGGGCAAAAAACTCATATTTTAAAGCACGCTCAGTAAAACTAATTTATTCATAGGCTAGTTGGCTAATGGCCAGGATAAAAAGACATCTATATGATGCTGCTAAACCAGCCTTGATTAAGGGGAGGTTAGGCTATGCTTGGTTCTTAATCAAATTAAACGAAATGGGGGGGGAAACCAATAGTTTGTTTCTAAATACGACATTCACAAGCATAAAATCCACTTTAATAATGGAACACTAGTCACTTTAATAATGTTTACATACTTCTTTACTCATCTCATATGTGTATATAATGTATTCTATTGTATTTAGTCAATGCCACTCCGACATTGCTCGTCCTAATATTTATATATTTCTTAATTCCATTCTTTTATTCTTGTGTATTGTTGTGAATTGTTAGATACTACTGCACTGTTGGAGCTAGGAACACAAGCATTTCGCTACACCCGCAATAACATCTGCTAAATATGTGTATGTGACCAATACATTTGATTTGATTCTGATCTCTCTTCAATGGGCACTCACTGTGCGTCATGGCTGGATAGGCTGAGCTTCTGCTCTCAAAATCCATGCCATCATCAACTGCATTACTGCTAAGACCGGCTTTCTGTGAGTCTTAAAACTTCCCATTAGCGCTGCATGAAATTGTCACTTGCTTGTGTTTAAGGACACACCTCAAATATTGCCACCCCTCGCATGACAGCGCAAGTGAGTTGATGTTAGACAGGTAAATGCCAGTGGTGCATTTAGGGCTGAAAAATGCTTGTGTGCCAGTTTTTTTACATGACGAAATTGCTAACTAATGTGCATTTGGCAGCCAAAAATAGAGCCCTAAGCGAAGGAGATGTGTCATGTGCGCTGCATGAGGCAAATGGTGGATATCAACAGATGCATATCTGGATTCCCAGTCATGTGAAATCCATAGATTAGGGCCTAATTAATTTATTTCAGTTAACTGATCTCCTTATATGAACTGTAACTCAGTAAAATCTTTGAAATTGTTGCATTTTATATTTTTGTTCAGTGTATTTCAGCATCTTCCATTGCTTTTTATAATGGAATTGTAAAGGCAACATCTACCACATCGAATACCAACTTCCATGCCGGGTCTTTTATTTCTTATGCTGTGAACTGATTAAGCTGGTGGGAGGCTGGCTACATTAGCTACACATACATACAGTGGGGAAAAAAAGTATTTAGTCAGTCACCAATTGTGCAAGTTCTCCCACTTAAAAAGATGAGAGAGGCCTGTAATTTTCATCATAGGTACACGTCAACTATGACAGACAAAATGAGGTAAAAAAATCCAGAAAATCACATTGTAGGATTTTTAATGAATTTATTTGCAAATTATGGTGGAAAATAAGTATTTGGTCAATAATAGAAGTTTCTCAATACTTTGTTATATACCCTTTGTTGGCAATGACACAGGTCAAACGTTTTCTGTAAGTCTTCACAAGGTTTTCACACACTGTTGCTGGTATTTTGGCCCATTCCTCCATGCAGATCTCCTCTAGAGCAGTGATGTTTTAGGGCTGTCGCTGGGCAACACGGACTTTCAACTCCCTCCAAAGATTTTCTATGGGGTTGAGATCTGGAGACTGGCTAGGCCACTCCAGGACCTTGAAATGCTTCTTACGAAGCCACTCCTTCGTTGCCCGGGTGGTGTGTTTGGGATCATTGTCATGCTGAAAGACCCAGCCACGTTTCATCTTCAATGCCCTTGCTGATGGAAGGAGGTTTTCACTCAAAATCTCACGATACATGGCCCCATTCATTCTTTCCTTTACACAAATCAGTTGTCCTGGTCCCTTTGCAGAAAAACAGCCCCAAAGCATGATGTTTCCACCCCCATGCTTCACAGTAGGTATGGTGTTCTTTGGATGCAACTCAGCATTCTTTGTCCTCCAAACACGACGAGTTGAGTTTTTACCAAAAAGTTATATTTTGGTTTCATCTGACCATATGACATTCTCCCAATCCTCTTCTGGATCATCCAAATGCACTCTAGCAAACTTCAGACGGGCCTGGACATGTACTGGCTTAAGCAGGGGGACACGTCTTGCACTGCAGGATTTGAGTCCCTGGCGGCGTAGTGTGTTACTGATGGTAGGCTTTGTAACTTTGGTCCCAGCTCTCTGCAGATCATTCACTAGGTCCCCCCGTGTGGTTCTGGGATTTTTGCTCACCGTTCTTGTGATCATTTTGACCCCACGGGGTGAGATCTTGCGTGGAGCCCCAGATCAAGGGAGATTATCAGTGGTCTTGTATGTCTTCCATTTCCTAATAATTGCTCCCACAGTTGATTTCTTCAAACCAAGCTGCTTACCTATTGCAGATTCAGTCTTCCCAGCCTGGTGCAGGTCTACAATTTTGTTTCTGGTGTCCTTTGACAGCTCTTTGGTCTTGGCCATAGTGGAGTTTGGAGTGTGACTGTTTGAGGTTGTGGACAGGTGTCTTTTATACTGATAACAAGTTCAAACAGGTGCCATTAATACAGGTAACGAGTGGAGGACAGAGGAGCCTCTTAAAGAAGAAGTTACAGGTCTGTGAGAGACAGAAATCTTGCTTGTTTGTAGGTGACCAAATACTTATTTTCCACCATAATTTGCAAATAAATTCATTAAAAATCCTACAATGTGATTTTCTGGGAAAAAAATTCTCAATTTGTCTGTCATAGTTGACGTGTACCTATGATGAAAATGACAGGCCTCTCTCATCTTTTTAAGTGGGAGAACTTGCACAATTGGTGGCTGACTAAATACTTTTTTTCCCCACTGTACATATGTTATATCTTCACTCATTTATAGTACCAGGTCGGCCAGCTGTTCTCTGTTGCTGAGGCTAGCAAGAATAACACTGGAGGAGGAGAGGGTATTGAAGTGCTTCGAAATGAACCATATGAAAAGGATGGAGAGAAAGGCCAGTACACGCACAAGATCTACCACATACACAGGTGAGTACATCTGGAAAAATACATCTGGTGGATCTGGCCTACACATTTGTCGTCCTTTTTTTATTTTACATGCTATGAGCCTACTTCACTATTAGCCTACATCAAAGTGTAAATAATGCTGCGAGATGCGTTCTGCTAGGGAGGTAAATACTACTCAACAGGTAGGGATTTAACACTTTTTTTTGGAAGTGTAGCAATCTGTATTAACATTTTCCTATTAGGTAAGCAAGAAAACATTAGGCTAACCTATGCATTTTTACAATCAGAGCAACAAAAATGGAGTGAAACAGTTCAGTTTTGGCATTGTACAACGATCATTTTGGATAATCTAAGCTAGCAGCGTCATTTACAAAATACATTTGTTTAGAAGTAGTTGACGTTATAGACTAGTGAATAGGGTTATTAGATACGTCTTGGAATTGGAAATGTAACATTTCAAGATGAATTAGGTTTCAATACACTTGTTGAATGGTTGTAAAGCGTACATGTGAACGTTTTCGAATAAATGGTTAAACTTGCCCACTCCCATCTCTAGCCAACATTTCACATATTGGAAGTGGAAAGTGCACATGATGAGAGTATAGTTAAGGGATATATCATTTTAAAGTGGTAACCACCTCAAACAAACTCTTAGACAGAGCCCCACCGACACTATTTATTGGAAATGACCAAGCTCTGCGATCATGGGGCACCTTCACCACTACGTGAATTCACTGTAATTTATTCAGCTTTTCTTCGCTATCGTGGTAGGCCAACACAACAAAGCACCACATGACTCTAAATGTACTTTGCCAATTCCATTTAAAATATATAGATCACAATTTCCACTGCATCATGCACATTATATACAGGTAACTGCCCAAATAAGGGAAACGCCAACATAGAGTCTTTATAGGGCATTTTGCCACCACCAGCCACCAAAGCAGATTCAATGCCCCTTGGCATAGATTCTACAAGTGTCTGGAACTCGATTGGAGGGATGCAACACCATTCCTCCAGGAGAAATTCCATCATTTTGTGTTTTGTTGGTGGTGGAAAACTGTCGCAGGCTAAGTGTTCAATTGGGTTAGGATCTGGTGACTGAGACACACACACAGCCTTTAAACCCCCTATGCTCCTTTGAGACCCCTCTTTCAAAGTCACGGAGATCTCTTCTAGCCATGGTTGCCAAAATAATGGGCAACTGGGCATTTTTATACGTGACCCTAATCATGATGGGATGTTAATTGCTTAATTGACTCAGGAACCACACTGTGTGGAAGCACCTGCTTTCAATATACTTTTGTATCCCTCATTTACTCAAGTGTTTCCTTTATTTTGGCAGTTACCTTTATATCAATTGGCTTAACAATTCTATCCAACCACGTCAAGTGCCGGGCATTTGTTTACATTTTATTTAAAAAACGGTGGTCTCTACCAAGCGCCGGGTTAAAAAAGTGTAATTACACATTCACACATTTTGCCTGTCTGCCGATGGAATTTTACAGCACCTCTACCTCACACTGAATGATTGATCTCTGAATGTCAAAATGCAAATCTGTAATCAGAGAGAACTGATCAGTTCCCCCCTTTTGTAACATTTGCAGTGTATTGGACACAACCTATTATGAGTAGCTGTTTTTGTCAACTTGTAGACCTAGAAAACCACATCATAAAAGTGTGAGCTGGACTTTCCACACCTCAAACGGTGATAAACGCTGGTCCCCAATACATGCTTCGCAGTTCAAGTAAATGTTTATCCCAATACAGAACAAACAATCGTCACTGGAAAATGGCTTCAGTCAGATCAGAGGGTAGTTGAGTATGTAGAACTTTACTTTTACTATTAGCTACCATTCTTTTTTTTTTGATTTCCTGATTGTTGATTCCTTCCACCTGTGTTGAAAGTATAAGAACCCTACTGGGAGGAAATGTTATGTTGAAACAATAACTCATAACTTTATGTTGTATGAATGAATCCATTCCATCCTCTCTCCCTTACAGCAAGGTACCCAGTTTCATCCAGATGTTTGCTCCAGAGGGAGCCCTGGTCTTCCACGAGAAAGCTTGGAATGCCTACCCCTATTGTCGCACCAGTGAGTGTTCAGGACTGTGTGTCTGTGAGGGGTTTGATTGAGTTTCCAGCTCAAGTTATCGCTTGAATAATATTTATAGCATCTAGTTTTCCGTGATTCTGTGGTCACCATTTTTTCTTGAAAAATTGCAGTCATCTGTAGGGTTGGGCAATGTCAACCTTTGTCCTGTCGTGATTATGTACCCATAAAACATTGTGACATAGGATGGTATCGTAACCCAAAGAATTTGTGAAAAACTATTAAAAACTGCTGTAAAAAAGTTGGGCTATAGCGTGAAATCGTATGCTACAACTGGACGAATCATGACTAAACATAATGTTTTTGAAAGCCTGGGCAGAGGCTAAGTGCAGGCAGATATGTTCTAATATTCCTTATGGTGGAGGAGCTTCAGCATGGAACATGTGTTGGAGTCCTGCACTGGTCAGTGTTTTGGAGCCGCACCTGTTCCATGCCTGCCGGCCATATCAATTCCGAGCTCCGCCCGATACCAGACATCAGGACAGATGTTTCTTCGCAACCTGACCCATAGAATTGTTCCGAGAGCTGATCTGTTACCCACCATATAACATAAATTTGTTTAATTGTTTTTATGACTCCAGAGTAATAGGCATTATTATAATAATAATTATTAGGCTATTACTATTCTTCTTTCTTGCATTAATTAACTTCTCTGCCTGTCTATTCAACATTTGGATAAAAGGAAACCATGCCATGAATTTAAGAACGATATCTTTTCACAGTGTGATGCATCACTCAAATTGCTTTGAGAAAAATTGCCTTCTAATTAGCCGCCTTACCTAATGAAAGCCTATAACCGACATAACAAAACAAAATGCCTACCCTTACATTCAATATTGTTTAGATAATCAAATAGTTTAGGCTTAATTAAAACTTGAATAAACTATTCCCTGACTCAAATATAGTCTGCGAAAATAGGCTACATTTATTTAGTAGGCTACTCAAACTTTTAACAACTGAACTGGTTTACACGTTATATGGTCTGCATATGGTCTATTGAACGAAAGCCTGAATTAATGTAATAATTTAACTTAATTATCGAAAGCAAACCTACCTGCTTGCACTTTGTGCAGGCGGTGTCCATCTACCGCGTTGTTGTGCTTCCAAACTGGGGATTTCACTCGCGCAGCACCTGTTTCCACAATGGTGTTGTAGCCTATATTCCCTTATCATAACCTTTCTTTTTATTTCTCTGATTAGGCCTATGTTAGGAATTTTCACATGAGCTAGTCTATCCAGGGAAAGTTAACTTGGCAGCGTGTCGTATTCTCACGTGGGGAGAGGGACCATTAGCTCTCCACGTGGACAAAATAGAAAGTTTTGGCACCACATAAATAAGGGACAGTTCCCAGCTCCATACACACTCAATGCGTGCGTGGCTGGTAGCCTAATGTCTGCCTTGCCGCTCACAGAAAGGAATTCGAAACACAACAAGCTCCTGGGTTTTTAAAAAGTGCATTAGAATAAGGCTGTAACGTAACATAGTGAAGGGTTCTGAATACTTTCCAAATGCACTTGTTTTTCAATCAATGAATAGGCTAAAATGCATTATTTCGCAATTGAATTTCTTTAATTTTGGGGGAGAATTGGCTGGTGCCAATTTTATTTATCGCCTTTGAAAATGTACCGGCTTACGGAAACCCTTGTAGCTATAGATGGTTGGCTACATAATTAAACAATCCATAGTAAGCTAGTGTTTTGAGGGTGGACTGACTGTATTATTTGGCCTTAAAATACTGGTTTCATGCGCAACTTTTTATCCAAGCTGGGAGAGAGCGCTAGTACGGCTCATGTCATGCAGGTTCAGGTAGGCTAGAAAGGACAGTTGTATATTAAAAACAATATATATTGGTTAGTATGCTGTTGTATCGCAAATGTAGTTTACAATCTGCAATGTTTGAATTTCCAACTTTAATTATTGATCAATTAATGACATTATTGCCAGCAGTCTAAATGGCAGCCTTGCGACACTGTATAGCTTTGTGAAATGTTAGGCTAAATAAACATGAGAAAGTGACGACCAAATAGGGTCTAGCAATAAACATTTGTCCACTTGCTAAAGCAAAACTATAGGCTACATGCCCTGGCACCACAAAAACCCTATCATCGATTCGATAGGCAGCCGCATAGACATGTTGCAATTTCAGCACCATGCCCGGAGATCGGTAGCCTATACTTTGTGAGTGGCTGTCTAGTTGACACATTCAATTTTTTATATTTATGGGGGAGGGGAGAACTCCGACCTTGCGGGGGCTCCAGAGAAACTGGGTTCCGCCACTGCATTTTAGGACAAAATGTTAAGGGATTGGGGACTTGCAGAAAACTGCGGAATTTGGAAAGTGCATCACAGTTTTTTACTCTGTGGAAAACCAAACATTCTAAATATTATAGGAAATACATTATTGAGTCAGAAAAGCACCCCAAAATGTGTCAAATCCACAAGATGGTGAGGCACATAATGAAGGGGTAGATGTTTTTAACAACATGATGATACTTCAAGTAAGCTACATGTTAATGTTTATTTACAATTATCTTGTCCTGCATTTTCACATCTTGTCAGACATTGTCTGACAAAGTTGTATTATGTCTTGGACATGTTTCAGGACATCTGTTATGTAGATCCCGTTATATACCTCAATCCCAAATAAATGGGAGAGATGGGCACCATCCAATCTAACTTAATTTGTTAGAAGTACAGCAATATAGTCAGAATATGTGCACCAACTTTGGTGTATCTAGCTTTAAAAAATAACTTGTAATTGATTTATAGCTTGGACGTTTAAGTGTGGCTAATTATACTGTAGTGGTAAAGTTTTATGAGTAACTTCCTTAATGTTCTATTATCACGTACCTTCCTATTTATTTTCTCTCTTTTTTCCCCCGTATCTACCTTGTTCATCTTGCTCTAAATCTGGGATCATGCAGTTGTGACCGTAAGTGTTATTCATTTATAATACCTTATTTCTGTTTACAGTGTGCATGTACACATTATGCAGACATTTTTACTTACTTTTCTTTTCGCAGAATGAATACATGAAGGATGACTTTTTCATTAAGATTGAGACCTGGCACAAACCAGACATGGGGACCACAGAAAATGTGAGAATTTCTCAACATATTTTTTTCAAGTAATTATTACCTTAATGCAGACTTAACACAGTATTGGGATTGGGCAATACCAAAACTAAAGATAATTCTGCCATTCAGAATTTTCTCTATATACAATGCCTTCACCAAGATATTCTACATGAATTTATGCAGAGATAATAAGACAAACTCTCTGGCATTGGCCATCTATAGCTGTGGCATTTATCAAGGTATATGTAATGTATTTCTGTCACTTTCGTTCTAATCTGTATTACACCAGTGGAATCGTATTAACAGTATAAATCCCCCTCACTTTCTCTTTGAAGCCCCATGGTCTTTCCCCAGAGGAATGGGAGGAGACTGAGGTTGTGCCAATTGACATTGCTGACCGATCACAAGTTGATGATGTGGTAAGTACCTATTAGAGACCCCCTCTTGAGAAAATGAAATATTTATATTGAAAATGTATTTTTAAATCCATAAAATGTCCTGTTGCTGATTTGTGACTTAAAACAAATTGAATCATTCCTTAATTGTTGAAAAATGACATAGTGAGGCTAGGACCACAGTCTTACCTCATCTTACCCCAAAAACGTCAAACCTATTGTTCTGTTTGTTTTTGTTGTCATGATTTTGTAAATTAACAATGTATAGCTGCAGGGATCTTCAACCTGGGATCTGCTGTCAAATTTATAAAATATTTATATTTAATATAAGTCGATCTTGTTATGAAAACCTGTCAACCCATCCACATTCAAAGCCCTTGTTCTTGTACCTGTAAATCAATCAACAGTAAAGATGAGACAAACTTAAAAGATTAGGTATCATTTAAAAATGTATGTAATTTCATTCAGGCTAAAGTGAGATGAAGAAAATCACCCAACATTCAAGAGGTGATTCCGAACTTAACAGTAAACTGTTGTTTTACATGCCTAGTTGATGGAAATGGAAACAGTGTGAGTTTGGGCAGCAAAATTAAACTGAAAAATGTCTAAATTGAACTCCAGCAGACCTGAAAAGGTGCAATATTCATGTGTCAAGGGCAATTTTTTCTTACCATTCGAGTGCATAGTGGCCAACTTGGCTGTAACCGTTGCTGTTTTTCAGTGTTATCACGACTAACCTAGAGGGCCGTCTGCTCCTCTGAAATTCCTGTCCTGGAGCTTTGTTTCAGACCTTGCTGTTGAAAGTCAAGATAGTTACACCATGGCAGCCATTGTGGTCAGGGAGAAATCCAAACCAGTCTAATTGGAATGAATGGCAGTAGAGGCATAGGTGATGCATTTCCTGATTTTAATTGTGGAGGAAAATAAAAGGAAGGCATGTGATGTATCAGAAATGGTGTAATAGAATTATAGTCAACCTAAAATATTGTCATATAATCATAAATACAGGTTTTAAACAAATGTTCTGTATAAATAGCCTCTAAAATATATGTAAACAGACCATACAGGTCAAAAAAAAAAATATTATTGGAAAGCTGTGAGTTCTATTATATGATACAATAGACCAAATCAGAATGTTTGTAAACAAAGCCGTTCCGGGTTGCGAACGTAGGAAAGCTGAACTCAAGAACGCATAGGAAACCATACGGCATATTGAATTGTTTTAAGATGTTCATACCTAGGGCTATGGCGGTCATGAAATTCTGTCAGACAGTGATTGTCAAGCAAATAACTCACGGTAATTGACTTAGTTAACATAAACACATTTAGCATCTACTGGCTTCCACGCATAGCCTACAAGCCACTGATGCAGACCTTTTGGAACATCTACGTTTTAAAAAGTCTAATAAATCCATGTAATGTAGCCTACACCATCACAATAAATCCATTATATTAGACAGGTCTAAAGAAACATGATATGAAGAAAATGTAGTCTATTTCAGAAAAGTCTATACAATTGAACATAGCTGAATAAAATGGAAAGGATGTTTTTAAGCAATGAGGCTGACGCAACAGATCAGAACGTTTTGCTTAAACTGTTGAAAAACTATTAGGCTATTTCTTCAAATTATAAGCGCAGCAATGCGTGCACGGCAATAGGCTATAAGCGCGAATGTTCCAAAAAGCGGTCAATTAGTGTAAAAACACCATTCTCAAAAGTGACTGCAAATGCGATTTTGCATGTAATGCTTTTATTATGAAGGTGCATTTTTATGGTGAAAAGTATCTTCCCCAAACTTGAAACTCACGTGCTGCGTATGTATGCAACTTAGGCTGTACACCCGTTGTAAAGCGGATTAATGTGCTAAATTTTAAGAAGTTATTTGGCCACTTTAGTTGTGACCAAACCTTATCAAAACATACAGTGCCTTCGGAAGGTATTCAGACCCCTTGACCTTTTCCATGTTTTGTTACGTTACAGCCTTTACTCAGTACTTTGTTGAAGCACCTTTGGCAGCGATTACAGCCTTGAGTCTTGGGTATGACGCTACAAGATTGGCACACCTGTATTTGGGGAGTTTTTTCCATTCTTCTCTGCAGATCCCGAGTGGCGCAGCGGTCTAAGGCACTGCATCTCAGTGCTTGAGGCGTCACTACAGACCCCCTGGATTCCAGGCTGTATCACAACCAGCCGTGATTGGGAGTCCCATAGGGTGGCGCACAATTGGCCCAGCGTCGTCCGGGTTTGGCCGGTGTAGGCCGTCATTGTAAATAAGAATTTGTTCTTAACTGACTTGCCTATTTAAATAAAGGTAAAATAAAAAAATTAAAATAAAGATCCTCTCAAGATCTGTCAGGTTGGATGGGGAGCGTCACTGCACAGCTATTTTCAGGTCTCTCCAGAGATGTTCGATCAGGTTCAATTCCTGGCTCTGGCTGAGCCACTCAAGGACATTCAGAGACTTGTCCCAAAGCCACTCCTGCGTTGTCTTGGCTGTGCTTAGGGTCGTTGTCCTGTTGGAAGGTGAACCTTCGCCCCAGTCTGAGGTCCTGAGCACTCTGGAGCAGGTTTTCATCAAGGATCTCTCTGTACTTTGCTCCGTTCATTTTTCCCTCGATCCTGACTAGTCTCCCAGTCGCTGAAAAACATTGCCACAGCATGATGTTGCCACCACCATGGTTCACCGTAGGGATGGTACCAGATTTCCTCCAGACGTGACACTTGGCATTCAGGCCAAAGAGTTAAATCTTGGTTTCACCAGACCAGGGAATCTTCTTTCTCATGGTCGGAGAGTCCTTAAGGTACCTTTTGGCAAACTCCAAGCGGTCTGTCATGCCTTTTTACTGAGGAGTGGCTTCCATCTGGCCACTCTACCATAAAGGCCTGGAGTGCTGCAGAGATGGTTGTCCTTCTGGAAGGTTCTCCCATCTCCACAGAGGAACTCTAGAGCTCTGTCAGTGACCATCGGGTTCTTGGTCACCTCCCTGACCAAGGCCCGTCTCCCCCGATTGCTCAGTTTAGCCGGGCGGCCAGCTCTAGGAAGAGTCTTGGTGGTTCCAAACTTCTTCCATTTAAGAATGATGGAGGCCACTGTGTTCTTGGGAACCTTTAATGCTGCAGAACTTTTTTGGTACCCTTCCCCAGATCTGTGCCTCGACACAATCATGTTTTGGAGCTCTACGGACAATTCCTTCGACCTCATGGCTTGGTTTTTGCTCTGACATGCACTGTCAACTGTGGGACCTTATATAGACAGCTGTGTGCCTTTCCAAATCATGTCCAAGTAATTGAATTTACCACAGGTGGACTCCAATCAAGTTGTAGAAAGATCTCAAGGATGATCAATGGAAACCGGATGCACCTGAGCTCAATTTCGAGTCTCATAGCAAAGGGTCTGAATACTAACGTATTTCTGTTTTTTATTTTTAATACATTTGCAAACACCTGTTTTCGCTTGTTTATTTTGGGGTATTGTGTGTAGATTGATGAGAAACATTTTTAATTAAATCAATTTTACAATAAGGCTTTAACGTAACAAAATGTGGAAAAAGGGAAAGAGTGAATACTTTCCGAATGCACTCTTTAGGCCTATGGCAGGGTTCTTCAATTCCGGTCCTGGAGGGCCGAAACACTTCTGTTTTTTATTTCTACCTGGTAGTTAATTGCACTCACCTCATGTCCCAGGTCTGAATTAGCCCCTGATTAGAAGGAGAGGATGAAAAACAGAGGTGTTTCGGCCCTCCAGGACCGGAATTGAAGAACCCTGGCCTATGGGCTAGGCTACATGAGGTGTGTGACTATGATTTGATAAAGTTGCAAAAAATAGGCATGCACTTTTTCTTCCCTTACTGTACACAAGCTGGGAATCATTCACAAGTGATAATATATCATTCACAAGTGATAGGGTAATATTGTCACCCATCAGACTGTTCTTGATTTAATCTTGTCTTTACATATACTATATAATATGTGAAATTTGTTTTGATTTAGAATGGACCGTTATCATGCACCTGTCTCAACAGGGGCAGGGTGAAAAAATACTTGTCATCTATGCACTTAAATAGCGAATGGAGGACGCTTTTCCCGTGGTTCATTTTCATGCCAGTCAGGTAGGCTATACTCCTGTTGTAAAGAGAAGCAATGTGCGTAATATTAGGAAAGTTGAGAAATAAATATAGTAGGCCTAGCCTATAGAAAGGTGATGGCATTCTCACGCAATTGCATAGCCTATAAAAATGTTTTGCAACATGAGCTCATGGGCTCTCATTAAGTGTTTGATTAGATTTTCGAACAAATGTTCTATTGATTTCATAGTGATTAGAGGGACAATAGTGCTGAGTACCAGGCAGTTAGCAAGTTTGGTAGGCTACTAATGACTATCAGCAGCATCAGAGCTTGGAAAAGCCTAATTTCCATGACTAAATGGTCATGTGGAATTTGACTGCCATCATGACTCGTGAACGCCAGTGTGGCGGTAATACTGTCACCGTAACAGCCCTATTCATACCATGAATCATTTAGCTATTTGGTCTTAAATTTTAGGACGCTTTTAGGTGTCAAAAAATATGAACAAATTATTTGGGGAAAAATGAATTTGGCTCTATAGTCCATAGAAACTTTGAATAACACATTCATAAATGGCAAAAAATACAGTGAAAAAAATAATCATAAGGTTTTGAAGAGTCTGTCCTATATCTAGGATATATATAAGAAAGCTCAGGAAATATTATATATTGTTTCGACACATATTTAACTCCTTATTGTTGTTTGCACTAAACTACCTCCATACTTCCATTTATTTGTATGGGTCACCTTCAGACGAGTTCCATGGGGCTTGTGGGGGCCATAGAGCAAAACGGAGAACACACGCTTCTGTCTATTTGAGCTGGTCAGTATGTGTAGGTAATCCTGTCTAACGCGGCTTTAAAAAAAATCTATTGCGTAGTAGAACTGCATAAGTGTTGCTCTCCACTTTCTGGAGGACCGAGTTTTGAAATCAGTGGAATTAGAGTATGATAGCTCAGGAGATGGAGAACACCTGTCTCCGGATTACATCTTCAAACTACAGTGGGGGAAAAAAAGTATTTAGTCAGCCACCAATTGTGCAAGCTCTCCCACTTAAAAAGATGAGAGAGGCCTGTAATTTTCATCATAGGTACACGTCAACTATGACAGACAAAATGAGAATTTTTTTTCAAGAAAATGACATTGTAGGATTTTTAATGAATTTATTTGCAAATTATGGTGGAAAATAAGTATTTGGTCAATAACAAAAGTTTCTCAATACTTTGTTATATACCCTTTCTTGGCAATGACACAGGTCAAATGTTTTCTGTAAGGCTTCACAAGGTTTTCACACACTGTTGCTGGTATTTTGGCCCATTCCTCCATGCAGATCTCCTCTAGAGTAGTGATGTTTTGGGGCTGTCGCTGGGCAACAGACTTTCAACTCCCTCCAAAGATTTTCTATGGGGTTGAGATCTGGAGACTGGCTAGGCCACTCCAGGACCTTGAAATGCTTCTTACGAAGCCACTCCTTCGTTGCCCAGGCGGTGTGTTTGGGATCATTGTCATGCTGAAAGACCCAGCCACGTTTCATCTTCAATGCCCTTGCTGATGGAAGGAGGTTTTCACTCAAAATCTCACGATACATGGCCCCATTCATTCTTTCCTTTACACGGATCAGTCGTCCTGGTCCCTTTGCAGAAAAACAGCCCCAAAGCATGATGTTTCCACCCCCATGCTTCACAGTAGGTATGGTGTTCTTTGGATGCAACTCAGCATTCTTTGTCCTCCAAACACGACGAGTTGAGTTTTTACCAAAAAGTTATATATATATATTTTTTTGCAGATTCAGTCTTCCCAGCCTGGTGCAGGTCTACAATTTTGTTTCTGGTGTCCTTTGACAGCTCTTTGGTCTTGGCCATAGTGGAGTTTGGAGTGTGACTGTTTGAGGTTGTGGACAGGTGTCTTTTATACTGATAACAAGTTCAAACAGGTGCCATTAATACAGGTAATGAGTGGAGGACAGAGGAGCATCTTAAAGAAGAAGTTACAGGTCTGTGAGAGCCAGAAATCTTGCTTGTTTGTAGGTGACCAAATACTTATTTTCCACCATAATTTGCAAATACATTCATTAAAACTCCTACAATGTGATTTTCTGGATTTTTTTCCTTCAATTTGTCTGTCATAGTTGACGTGTACCTATGATGAAAATTACAGGCCTCTCTCATCTTTTTAAGTGGGAGAACTTGCACAATTGGTGGCTGACTAAATACTTTTTTCCCCACTGTAAGTGCAACCATGGCATCCGTGACAGAGAGGGAGAAGCGTCCAGCCATGTATACGGGTAAGATAGTCTAGCTAGCTACATTTTCAGATATTACACATTTCTAATTTAGTCAAAGTCGTTTTCATTTCAAGTTAAAGTGTACTGTTAGCTAGCTAGCTAACATTACGCGTATGATCTGTGGAGTAATAATATTTGTATCTCAGAGCCATTTGCTTTGCTAGTTATAGCCTAATGTTAGCTAGCTAACATTGAACCTGCTTGGTTAGCTACCTGCAGATTCATGCAGGGTAGTAGCGTCATGAGTTGGGATTATGGTTCAGTGTTTAGCTAGCTAGCTAGCTACATATCTTAACAAAAGACTCCACTATGCAAGTATCCATTTCAATAGAATGTTCATGATGTCACTGCGACACGACAGCTGTTGATAGCCAGAGCGAATTTACCAGCTTTGTCTATCTACTCCTATTTAGAGCACTCTCGTCTGAGTGTGCCAGAGCGCAGAATAACCGACAAATTTACAAACGCTCAACACCCATTGAATATGGCCGGTGTCAGTAAACGTTGGCAAAAAAGTGTAATTAAATTGTTGCCAGCAGCACAGTTGCAGTCACCAACGCTCTGGATAACATAAAAACAGCCTAACCAGCTCTGCTAGGGCGAGTAAAATGGTCAGAGTTCTCTCATTTGTGTCTGGAAGTAGCTAGCCAACATTAGCCAGTTAGCTTGGGTGCTTGACTGCTGCTGTTAGGACAGAACGCTCAGATCAACCCTTAAAGAGATGGGTGGGGCTAAAGCTTAAGAGGGTGTGAACGATGCTGAATGGGTGTAGACAAAGAGGAGCTCTCCGGTAGGTACCAAAACATTCAAAGTTTATAAACTTTCAAAGCAGAATTACTTTCCCATTGTTCCTCAACTGTAGTGTATGATATACCATTTTCTAGCTCTGAGTCTGTACTTTTATCCCAAAATAATAATAGTTAAATTTTTGCTACATAAGACCGAATCAAGACGGTCGGTCACAAATATCTTATCACAGCACTGGCAAACCATGGTTGACTAACTCCCTGACCAAAATTGTTGACTTTTTATAACATTTAAGAAGGTTCATGTCCATTCTAGTAGTCTTAATTCCTAATTCAATGAATACTGTAGTCTGTATGTAAAATGTATACATATTAAATACATTTTCTCTGTTCTCATATGTAGGACTATAAGCCAGAGGAAGACCCAGCCATCTTCCAGTCCGAGAAAACTGGAAGAGGACCCCTGGGACCAGGATGGAAGGCATGTCTGAAATCACACTTGTTCTGTTAAAATCTATGGTCCAATATGGTAAATTATATGTATCATAAAGGCAGCGTGACATTTTCAAAGGAAAATAAGCATATTTGTTTCCCCAATCTAGCTTTGAATAGAAAAGTGATTCACATGTTAAACCTGGGTATCCTTTGCCCCTCTCATTCCTCCCCATGTTTGTGTCTATTCACTCTCTCTTTTACTGTGTAGAAGGAGCTCCACAACAGTAACTGTCCCTATATGACTGCCTATAAGCTTGTAACGGTGCATTTCCGCTGGTGGGGGCTGCAGGGACGAGTGGAGAACTTTATTCACAAGGTAAGAGCTCAGAAGAGCTAAGATCATCATTACATTCACTAGACTTGTTGCTGCGCCGTCTTCACAGGTCCCCAGATTTTTAACTTTTCTATTGACATTACAACCTTTTCTTACCTTTGGATGTGGCTTGGCAACGCGAGATTCTTGCTGCACAGCTCAAATTTAGCATGCATTAAACAAACTATTCAACTTTGCCAACAACTGTTAATGTAGAACATTTTACACTGTTGAATAATGCAACTAAGCCATATTTCACTCGTCAATAATGCAACAATTCACAAGTAGGTGCAGACAACTAAAGGGTTTATTTTCTCATCCGTAAACTCAATTACAAAACAATAGCACATATCAGCTACTGCTAGCTAGCTAACAATATGTCGTGACAATACTTACTTTAATGTATGACTGTTATTTATCGAATCACCTAACTGTTTAATTGTCACTCGATTAAATTAATCATGTAACAATTAACTCATTAGGAATTTGGGGCACCGGAAGTTGTTTAACGAGTTACCATCTCCCAAATTAAACTCTTAGAAGATATGTTATATATCGATAACAGTCACTTAGCAAATAATTACCTCTTATCAGTCTCATTCTGAACGTTGCATAATCCTTGAACCTGCAAGAACCCTAACCTTATTGATGAATAAGCAATACACAAATTGGCTTAATTATTTATTTACTAACTAACTAAATAATAACACAATACAAACACACAGGTTATTGATTACTAACGTAATACAATGAAAACAGGTCCCTAGTCGACTGGACTAACAATTGCATGACTGCTTTGGTAGAAGGAGGGTCAGAGTGGAAGGGAGAGACAGAGATTCAAACTATCGTGGTTCCTTTGGAGACTATGCTCACAGTAATCATAATACTTATGCACCCTAATAACGCTAATTCAGATTAGAAATGCAACATATATTTACGTGTAGCTGTCCTCGATAGTTGAGTTGATGATGTAGGACTCTGGTTTGCCCACCAGAGATCCCAATGTCCTTGGTAGAGTTTCTGGTCGTAGTGCTGGTTAGATGGATACTTCAGATGTACCAGCGATTTTCTGAGAGGGATTGTCCTGAATGTTCTCTAGAGGACTATACATGCCAGCTGCAGACTGAAATGATAAGGTCTAGTGCATTGTCTTCTTCACTTCGTGTAGAGGTTGAGAGTTTCAGAGTTTCTCCATTTCAACCGTGTGGACTAACGTCTCACGTTTTCTGGTCTTTCTGGTCTTGTAGATATTCAACCATTTGCAACGTTTGGCTCACACTTCACGTCTGTTGGTCTTCCTTTGGTAATGGAGTTGTAGTTTTAAACCATTTTGTAACGTGTAGTTCATGCGTCTTGGTCTGTAGAGTTTCAACCATTTACAACGTTTAGCTCACGCTTCACGTCTGCTGGTCTAACGGTTGATTTGTTTTTCAAGGCTTTTTATGCACTCTGGGTAGAAGGGGCATTCCATCATGTTTACACAATCTCTAATGTCACTCGGGGCGTGGCTAGTCACTGTGCATAGTTTATATGAAAAACTATTATCTAATTAGAAGACTAAAATGACATTCCTATCTTCACCAAAATACTATAATACTTAATCATATATTTTATACAACATTTAGATGTAAACTTGATAGAATATGTACACTTTCCGAGTTACAGTTATTACTTGATACCATCCTTAATGACATCACAAAATAATAAACAATATGACATGATTATTCTTCATTATCCACTTTTGGATGTTGGAGTCTTGGCGGGAAGATTTCCTTTGTCTCACAGGGAAATTATTTCTTCCCATACTAGAGACCAAAAAGAGTCATTTTCTGCAAACTATTTATGACCGGCTGAAGTCATAAAACTGGCCCCCAGGAAAGGGGGTGTTCAAACCTTTGCATAGCAGGAATGTTTGATCCTCAACCCATGAGGGCAAGTCATGACAAACATATGCTTCATTAAGTAGGATTAGCCTAGTACAGTAACGTTATCATAGTTTTAGTTTTATTACACATTACTAGGTAGCAAGCTAAAGAAAATAATTTCTGCATCCTCCTCACATCATAGATTATTAGCTAACCACAGTCTCTTTTGAAGATGAGGGGGGGGGGGGGGGGGGGAAATATACTTCTCCCATGGGCAAAGAAACTCAAAAGGGTTGATGATATTTATTACCAGTAATTTTGATCCGAATGTGCAAATTGTCCAAACATCCGCAAGGTAGATGGATAATTTTAAACATGTTATTGGACCATAAACAGATATGGCTCATTAACCTTTACGGACCAAATAATGATGATCCACGCTTCTTAGAAAATATATGATATTGATAATAAATTATCAACCCTGCAAGCAATACAATACTATTTTATTTGGTGGGAGATTATAATACTGTTTTAAATAGCTCAGTGACCGTAAAGGAAATCACACTACAAACTATCACCCTCATGCGCTTAAGGAAATAATGAATGTCATGGATACATTAGAACTAGTGGATATATAGGGGCTTAAATATCCTGATCAAGTGAGATATACAGTTGAAGTCGGAAGTTTACATATGCCTTAGCCAAATACATTTAAACTCAGTTTTTCACAATTCCTGACATTTTAATACTAAAAAAAATTATCTGTCTTAGGTCAGTTAGCATCACCACTTTATTTTAAGAATGTGAAATGTCAAAATAATAGTAGAGTGATTTTATTTCAGCTTTTATTTATTTAATCACATTACCAGTGGGTCAGACGTTTACATATTCAATTAGTATTTGCTAGCATTGCCTTTAAATTGTTTAACTTGGGTCAAACATTTCGGGTAGCCTTCCACAAGCTTCCAACAATAAAGTTGGGTGAATTGTGGCCCATTCCTCCTGACAGAGCTGGTGTAACTGAGTCAGATTTGTAGACCTTCTTGCTCTCACACGCTTTTTCAGTTCTGCCTACACATTTTCAATAGGATTGAGGTCAGGGCTTTGTGATGGCCACTCCAATACCTTGACATTGTTGGCTTTAAGCCATTTTGCCACAACTTTGGAAGTATGCTTGGGGTCATTGTCCATATGGAAGACGCATTTGCGACCAAGCTTTAACTTCCTGACTGATGTCTTGAGATGATGCTTCAATATATCCACATCATTTTCCTTCCTCATGATGCCATCTATTTTGTGAAGTGCACCAGTCCCTCCTGCAGCAAAGCACCCCCACAGCATGATGCTGCCACCCCCGTGCTTCACGGTCGGTATGGTGTTCTTTGACTTGCAAGACTCCACTTTTTCCTCCAAACATAACGATGGTCATTATGGCCAAACAGTTCTATTTTTGTTTCATCAGACCAGAGGACAGTTCTCCAAAAAGTACGATCTTTGTCCCCATGTGCAGTTGCAAAAATGTAGTCTGGCTTTTTTATGGCGGTTTTGGAGCAGTGGCTTCTTCCTTGCTGAGCGGCCTTTCAGGTTATGTCGATATAGGACTCGTTTTACTGTGGATATACAGTGGGGAGAACAAGTATTTGATACACTGCCGATTTTGCAGGTTTTCCTACTTACAAAGCATGTAGAGGTCTGTAATTTTTATCATAGGTACACTTCTACTGTGAGAGACGGAATCTAAAACAAAAATCCAGAAAATCACATTGTATGATTTTTAAGTAATTAATTTGCATTTTATTGCATGACATAAGTATTTGATCACCTACCAACCAGTAAGAATTCCGGCTCTCACAGACCTGTTAGTTTTTCTTTAAGAAGCCCTCCTGTTCTCCACTCATTACCTGTATTAACTGCACCTGTTTGAACTCATTACCTGCATAAAAGACACATTGTCTCCACACACTCAATCAAACAGACTCCAACCTCTCCACAATGGCCAAGACCAGAGAGCTGTGTAAGGACATCAGGGATAAAATTGTAGACCTGCACAAGGCTGGGATGGGCTACAGGACAATAGGCAAGCAGCTTGGTGAGAAGGCAAAAACTGTTGGCGCAATTATTAGAATATGGAAGAAGTTCAAGATGACGGTCAATCACCCTCGGTCTGGGGCTCCATGCAAGATCTCACCTCGTGGGGCATCAATGATCATGAGGAAGGTGAGGGATCAGCCCAGAACTACACGGCAGGACCTGGTCAATGACCTGAAGAGAGCTGGGACCACAGTCTCAAAGAAAACCATTAGTAACACACTACGCCATCATGGATTAAAATCCTGCAGCGCACGCAATGTCCCCCTGCTCAAGCCAGCGCATGTCCAGGCCTGTCTGAAGTTTGCCAATGACCATCTGGATGATCCAGAGGAGGAATGGGAGAAGTTCATGTGGTCTGATGAGACAAAAATATAGCTTTTTGGTCTAAACTCCACTCGCCGTGTTAGGAAGAAAAAGAAGGATGAGTACAACCCCAAGAACACCATCCCAACCATGAAGCATAGAGGTGGAAACATAATTCTTTGGGGATGCTTTTCTGCAAAGGGGACAGGACAACTGCACCGTATTGAGGGGAGGATGGATGGGGCCATGTATCGTGAGATCTTGGCCAACAACCTCCTTCCCTCAGTAAGAGCATTGAAGATGGGTCGTGGCTGGGTCTTCCAGCATGACAACGACCCGAAACACACAGCCAGGGCAACTAAGGAGTGGCTCCGTAAGAAGCATCTCAAGGTACTGGAGTGGCCTAGCCAGTCTCCAGACCTGAACCCAATAGAACATCTTTGGAGGGAGCTGAAAGTCTGTCTTGCCCAGCGACAGCCCCCAAACCTGAAGGATCTGGAGAAGGTCTGTATGGAGGAGTGGGCCAAAATCCCTGCTGCAGTGTGTGCAAACCTGGTCAAGACCTACAGGAAACGTATGATCTCTGTAATTGCAAACAAAGGTTTCTGTACCAAATATTAAGTTCTGCTTTTCTGATGTATCAAATACTTATGTCATGCAATAAAATGCAAATTAATTACTTAAAAATCATACAATGTGATTTTCTGGATTTTTGTTTTAGATTCCGTCTCTCACAGTTGAAGT